AGCGTCGCACGGCGGCGTCTTTGATCGATCCGCCAAAGTAGCTTTCAAGCGTTATATGTGAGAAAAGATATGCGCAACGCGACGTAGCGAAAGGACATTAGTCACACCGGCGCTTGCGTGCAGCGAGGCCCAGCAGCAATCGTTTCGAACATGCGCGCGTGCTAGAAGAAGAATGTCAATAGACCGACAAACTGCTCTGTAGCCGGAGAAGTCATACCCGCCGTCCGCCGTCGCAGGAACATCTAAAGAAACGAGAGAAGACACAAATATGTCTGCGGAAAGAACAATCGAGCTGGTCCGGCGAGTGTCAAGTTCACGCGCGAAGAGTGTTATAGGAGTTTTACTACTTATCTCGAAAAAAAGAAGCTCTCTCTTACCTCGCGACGCGTCCCTCCCTCGTGGTCGTGGTATCTTCTCTATAGCGCGTACCCGAGCAGCGAGCAGTCGCGGTTGGTGTAACTCAAAATAGTGCACGGGGGCTGAAAAATGCACTTTTTTCTGCGCTTTTTTTATTCTTTCGTCAAAATCCGTTTTTATTTCGGATCGAGCGTGCTCGAGCGTCGTTGCATGGACGTATCATGTTGCGCGGCTCTGCTGTGCGCAGTTGCCCTCCTTGGTGCAGTTCATTCTCTCTGTTTGGGCTGCCAGGCCGATAAGCTTACACTTCAGCCTGCTTGACTGTATCTGACTGTGTGCTCCCTAGTGAATTCTATGCTCGCCTGCCGCGGCGAGAGACGGCGAGTGATGGAACTGCTGTGAAGTCGAGCGAGTTGGCGAAGCTGTGACAGACATTTAACGTGGTAAAACAGGAATCGTAGATAAAATAGCAATGATAATATTTCCTACATTTGCATTAGAAGGGAGAGAGAGGGGCGGGGGGAGAGCGACGAGAAGAGGGAGAAGGAGGCCGATGGGCGGTCTGTGCCCTCCATCACGGGCATCGCATCGATGAACTTCATTTCTAGATAATCATCGCTGATAATTTAAATTTTTACTAAATTTCGTCGATCGTCTTTTTCGTCGTTTTGACAAATGTCGTATTTGGACTGCAGTAGTAGAGTTTAACGCGTTTAGCACGCATATAATGGATGCGATGAGCCTGCCCCTATAATACCTATATTAATAATATAATAATAATAATAATAAAATAATAATAATAATTATTAATTATTAATATAAAATAATATGCATGATGATGATGATGAGCCTGATGATGATAGATGATGATGATGATGATGACTGAGGATGGAATGATGAATGATGAGAGATGATGGATGATGATGAATGATATGATAATATACGTATTATATATACGAACTATACTTTACATTGTAATATATATATGTAAGTATGTATGTATATATATAATATTATAGTATATATGATATAAATAATAGTATATAATACTAATGTATATATATATAATCATGTATGTATATATATATATATATACCTTACGTAATATAAAAGTATATATCATATCCTCATCATCCATCATCAGCATCGATTCATCCATCATATCATCATCATCATCATCAATCATCATCATCAAAGCATCATCATCTATCATCCATCATCATCATGACTAATTCATTAAATATTAATAATACACTAATTATTATTATTATTAAATTATTATTATTATTATCTTTAATTTTATATATGTATATAGGGCAGGCCTACATCGCATCATTATATGCAGTGCTAAAACGCGTCTAAACTCTACTACTGCCAGTCAAAATACGACATCTTGTCAAAACGACGAAAAAGAGTGACGAAATTAAGAAAAATTTAATTAATCAGCAGTGATTAAGAAAAATATCAATCGATTCGTGCACGTGAATACGAGCACAGAACGCCCCATCGGCCTCCCTCTCCCTTCTCGCTCTCCCCCCCCTCTCTCTCCCTTCTCATGACAAATGATAGAAAAATATTAATCAATTGCTATTTTATTTACGATCCTGTTTTACAACATAAATGTCTCACAGCTTCGCAACTCGGCTCGACTTCACAGCAGTTCCACTCAAACCTGTCCGGGCGCCTCCGCGAAGGCGAGCATAGACATTACTAGGGCAGCACACAGTCAGATATCAGTGAACAGCAGTGACGTCGTAGTTTATCGCCTGGCAGGCCCAACAGAGAAGGGAATGAAGCAACCAAGGACGGGCAACATGCGCACAGCAAAGCGCGCGTCAACATGATAACGCTCATGCAACCGCGACGCTCGCAACGCTTGTCGAAGAATAAAAACGGATTTTGACGAAATGAAAAAAAAAAAGCGCAGAAACATTCGGCATTTCCAGCCCCCGTGCAACTATTTTGTTATACACACACCGCGACGCTGCTGCTGTACGCGCTAATAAGATGAAATACCACGACACGAGAGGGACAGCGCGCAGAGAAGAGAGCTTCTTTTTTTCCGCGAAAGTAAACTCTAAACATCTTCGCCGGAACTTACCTCGCCCGGACAGCTCGGATTTTTTCGCGCAGACGATATCGTGCCTTCCTCTCGTTTGCCGTTTAGATTTCGCGCGACGAGCCGGAACCGGGTTGACCTTCGCGCTAGCAGAACAATTTGTCTCGTTATTGACATTCTATCAGCAGCGCCATGTTCGAACGATTGCTGCTGGCTCGCATGCACGCAGCGCCGGTGGGCACTAATGTACCTTTCTCCCTACGTCGCGTGACGCATTCTTTCTCACCTAAACGCTTGAAAAGGCTAGCTTTGGCGGTCAATCAAAGACCCCGCGCGACTAAACACGAAGAAAATGACAATCGATATATTTAAGAAAAAATTGACCGAAAACATCCTGCAATAATTTAATGACATGTCGGGCAGTGCGCTCTTCCACGAATGAAAACGGCGAAAAAGCGTGCGAAACGAGCTGCTGCTTGATGTTGGACACTTAAAATAACGAGAGCAGAGAGACAGAGAGAACGACAGAGAGAGAGAGAGAGAGACGAGCGAGAGATTGAAGACCAGA